AACCACATGTGTTACAACTAACACCCCGTTACTTTGTGCATCGCATGCATCACAAGTTTATTGTTAAATTGTTAAATGCCCTTACATATCTCTGTCACCATTATAAGTGTTTGATCACCACATTTGAGTGATCATTGCAAAAAATGTGTTTATGTATATATATATTCTGTTTATGTATATACTGTATTCTATATATAGTACCAGTCAAATGTTTGGACACACGAATGGGAAAGTGTCTAAACTTTTGACTGGTACTGTACTATAATATACACAAAGAATATCGGCCGATATAGCGGTATCTGGGTTTTTTGGTGTCTTTTTTTTTTTTAGAATTTCGGCCGATATATTGGTATCAGCCTTTTTTTACTCCCTAATATCGTTATCAGCCCCAAAAACCCCATATCGGTCAGCTCTAATGTTTAGTCATGATTATTTTGTGCTGAAGCTGGTATTAATGTGGAGGAGATGATTAGCTCATGCGCGCCTCGCGCTGCCGCGTCTGTTGAACTGAGGCGCTACAGCAATCTGTCAATTCACATTAAACAGCGCCAAAACGGCATTTATTGTTTGAATACTGCAATATAATGGACATAATTTGAAATCTGAGACTTTGTTTCATATTAAAAGTACCAAAGCACAATGCTTATTGCGATATATTGGATGGGAAGTGCCCTTCAACGTTCCGTCCATTAACTGAAAACAGGATAGAATAATCGATTCTTGGGATTTAAGAATCGATATCGTTCCGTAAAATTGAGAATCGATTAATATCGAGAAATCAATATTTTTTAACCCAGCCCTAGTCATTAAGGGTTTCTGTAAAAAACATAATAGCAATAGATAATAGTAATTATTATTAAACGATAATAATACTACTAATTCTACTACTATACTAAGAATATACAATGCACTAAGGATTGATGAGCTGCTGGGTTCATGAATATTAATCACGTTGTCTGCGTTCGCTCTAACTGATTTGCTGAGATCAAAACAGGGATGATCATAGATGAGCTCCAGCCAATGAGAATGCCGTTTGCGCATTAGTTCCGCCCACTACCAGAGAATATCTTCTGCTTGTTCTGAAACGCTGAATAATTGTAAATGAAATGTTATTTTGAAAGGAAAATACAATAAAGAATATAGTTTACATGTAGCGCGTCGATTCAGCGTGGTATGTAAGACTCTCGCTCACTCTCTTTGCACGTGTGAGAAACAGCGCTATCAGCAAAGAGACGGCGACTCATGCGCCTTAACGCTAGAGTTTACGGTGCGGCAAATACAGGTGCGCTGCACATCCATTGAGCTGAATTAAAATAGTACAGATCACTTGACGGAGAGTGAAACTTTCAAGCGCTCAGTCAGTGTTCAGCGAGTGAAAATACATCTGTACTAAACTTGTACTTGGCCTCTAACACACACTGGTGAGTAAAATCTAAGAATATATGATGATTTTATGATTTTATTTAATTTTGTTTTTTATATGTTTATTGTATGTCTGCAGCAACATGTAGTCCATAACAATTTTCCTCTTGAGGACAATAAAGTATACTATTACTACTACTACTACTAATATATTAGCCAATGGCTAACGATAGACATAATTTAGTCGCCCAGAGTGAAGATTTAGTCACATATGCAAGTGATTTACTCGCAATGTAGAGGGTTGCATTGTCTGTGCTCTTTCCATTTAAAATTTAGAGGCAACCACTGGATTTTAATCATGATCCAAACTAAGATGCAACATACATGCTGCATGAGTTTTTAATCTAAATTAGACTGTATAATTTCATTACTTGAAGCAAAAAGAGAATGGTCTGAGTTAGGGCTGCACGATAAATCGAAATGGATTCGAGATCGCGATTCGACAGAAGCTGCGATTGTCATGCGTATCTTTCAGTGAAGCACGGTTCTGTGATCAGCAGTAAATCTCCATCCAAAGGCCAGAGGGCGCTCTCGCTCTGAAACTCCAAATACGCCTCGCAGAAGAAACCCAGGAAATGCCTATCGCTGCAGCTGAATAAACAGAAGATTCAACTGCTTTCATTGATTCAACGTGACTAATAAACACACGACTACGGCAATATATGGTTTATCTGAGTTCTTATTATTATAATTTTCATTAAAATAAAGTATATTTATAATGCAATGCCTTTATTACTGCTTAAATACTATGAAATATGTTGCGTGCCTTATTCTGTATAAGAAGCCACATCATCTCACAGAAGGATTTATTTCAAACACTCGACTGACGTTATGAAGTGAGTTTGGAGTAAAAATATGTTATTAAATGTGGTATTTTCACGTGCTTTCAGATGGAGCAGCATTTACTTTACAGAGCCGTAGTTCACTGAGAAGCTATGCAAACAGCTGTCATTATCGCGAACGATTTCAGAACCGCGCAAAAAAATCGACAATTTTTTTTCTCGACGTAACTTGTCAGTGAACTACGGCTATGTGTAGTAAATTCTGCTCCATCTGAAAGCACGTGATGATGATTTCCTGCTGATTACAGAACCGGCATTACTACCAAAATGCGCATGACAATCGCATTCGATTAATCGTGAAGCCCTAGTCTGACTTTAGTTTTGTGAAACTATACTACATAAAACATATCTGAACGAAAGAGCAGACATGCTGAATGAGACGCAGATTCACTTTCTGACAGCAGGTGGCGCTCATGGAACAGCAGTGAACAAGGTTACCGCTGTAAACAAAGCAGCGCTGCGCTTATGAACACTACTTTAATATGCATCATTCAGAGGCAAGATGAAAAGAAAATACCACGTAAACTTTTCTAAAGATATTCAGTACCCCCTCAGACATACATTCATATAAACTCCTACTCCAATTGTATCGTGATTTGTTTGGCATCTCAACCGATTTGAAATGTCACATATTTGAATCGATTTTCGACCAGCTCACAGTTAATCATTAAATCCCTACTGAGCTTGTTGCAGTGCATTCTGGGCTTGCATTCTAAACACAGGAAAAGCGTTGAGCGCAACTATGCTGCCATAACATGCATGCACTGTAGGCAGCTCACTAGGTTATAGAATGAAGCCCTAGAGGGTGTTTTTCTGAAAGAGGATCCTAGTATCTGTGCATCACATATGAACGCATCTGCAACTCAGATCACTTAAAAACAGTCTGCTTGACAGCTGTCAGGCTGCAAAAGGACTTCACAAAAGTAGTTTGACTGTATGCTATGAATCAGCGGCACCCTTAATGCAAAATATCAAACAATGCCAATCAAGCAAGTATCAAGGTTGCTTCTCTCAAAAGAGCACGAGACTCAAATGTACCCTGAGGGCAAGCGTGTTCTACATGCATGACATGCTTTATCTTGTCTTTGTTGCTCTGATCAAATCCTCAACATGCCAGATGAGTTCAAAACACTGGGGTTTTATGTGACTATTGTGATGTTGAACTCTAGAAAAACATCAGATGGAGCCGTCTGACTCTACGGATGCTGCTAATGGAACTAATATCACATCAGCGTTATTAAACCACAGGAAATGTGGTTATCCGCTGGCTTTCAATGTCAAAGTGATGCTGCACATTTACAGTTCATTTTTAACTTATTAGGACTTGGGGGGTAAATGTAAAAAAAATTTACTCACCTCTTCCACCGAGCATGGCAAGACCACACGACTGAAAGAAAAGAAAAACAAGAATTATTAAAAAAAAAAAATACATTTTATACACACACACACACAAAGCATTAAAAATAATACACTCCACCACTGATATATTAATAACAACCTATTTTATTGGCTGATTCTTTCAGTGACTAATGCTAAAATCTGTGGACAACAAACAATATATTACTCAAATTTCACATTTGCGCTCACAAATTTTTTGTTAATATTATGAATATTCATTATTTTATTTATTATTTAATTATAAAATAAACATTTTACATAAAAAATAAAATAAATACATACATTTGAGATTTATATATATATATATATATATATATATATATATATATATATATATAT